ATGTAAGTTGATGAGACCTCTTCCTTACTCCATAGCTGACTGTGAAGGCTTCTGCCTGTCATCCTAGTCACTCAGGAGACTAAGATGGAGAGGTTTGTGCTTTCAGAACAGTCTGGGCACAAAAGTTCATTAAACTCAACAGAGAAATTGGGTGTGGTGGTGTGAGCCTCTTGTCCCAATTACAATGGAAAGACTAAAGTAGGTAGTCATGGTGTGACCCAGATAGAAAATGACTAGAGAAACAAATGCCTGGAAATGTGGCTCCATGGTAGAAAGCCTACCTGGCAGGCAATGAAACTCTAAATTCAAATTCCAGTATTGCCAGATTATTTATATATGCACATGTGTGTGTCTACATAGATGTACATAGATGTATGTGTTGTGTGTATAAGTGTGTGTGTGTGTGTGTGTGTGTGTGTTGAAAGACCATATCCTGCACAGAAGTACCTTGCTTTAAAAACTGAAAAATCTGGGCTGGAAAGGTGGCTCAGTGGTAGAGCGCTTGCCTTGCATGCTTGAGGCCCTGGGTTCAATTCCTCAGCCCCACATAAGCAAAAAGAAAAAAGCCGGAAGTGGCGCTGTGGCTCAAGTGGTAGAGCGCTAGCCTTGAGCTGAAGAGCTTGAGAGACAGCACCCAGGCCCAGAACTCAGGCCCCACGACTGGACCCAAAAAAATAAAAATAAAAAAATAAACTGAAAAATCTGTCAGGCATTGGTGACTCTGCCTATAATCTTATCTACTCTGGAGGCTGAGACTGATTACTACAGTTCAAAGTCAGACCAGGCAGAAAATCCCATGATAGTCTTATCTCCAATTAAACCACCCAAATGCTGGAAGTAGAGGTGTGGTTCAAGTGGTAGAGGACCAGTTTTGAGTGGGAAAAGCTCAGGGGCAGTGCCCAGACCCTGAGTCTAAACCCCAGTACCCACACAAAAATAAAGAAATAATCTGATAAAGCATTATAGGCTTAAATCCCTGTTTTCTTTATTACTTAACTATGAACCACTTACAGACAAGTCTAATGATGAAAAGACTTCTTTTTCTCAGTGGAAACATTATATTGGCTCTTCATATGCATAAAGCATCTCCCTGGTCATCTTCAGTGGGAAAAAAATGAGGAGAGAATGAGACATACCTAATAATCAGTGATTAATCAAGTGTTAAAAGACACAGTAAAACAAAGGAGGGGGTAATAATGCTCGACAAGAAATGTACTCATTACCCTCCTGATGTAACTGTGGCCTCTCTGTACCACATCTTTACAAGAAAATAAAAAATTTTTAAATGACACAGAAAACCTGGCGCCATGGCTCAGGCCTGTAATCCTAGTTAGTCCAGAGGCTGAGATCTGAGGATTGCTGTTTGAAGCCAGGCCAGGCAGGAAAATCCATGAGACTCTCATCTCCAATAAACTACTCAGAAAAAGCCAGAAGTGGTGCTGTGGCTCAAGTCGTAGAGTATTAGCCTTGAACAGAGGAAGCTCAGAGACAGTGCCTAGGACTTGAGTTCAAGCCCCATAATGAAAAAGAAAAAAGGGATACAGGTGGACCCATTGCAACAATGAGATGTACAAAATACTATGTCAAAAACCAAACTTTACAACTTTGGCTGGGGATGGGGGGAGTGTAGTTGTGGAGATGGGAGGGCAGGGATGCTAAGGAAAAACAAAGGAGAAGGCAACAATGCTGGATAAGAAATGTACTCATTACCTTGCTCATGTAATTGTAACCCCTCTGTACATATTTTCACAATAAAAAAACTTATTAATAAAAATACCAACAAAAGACACAGTAAAAAACAAATACACATATGATTCTTCGTTTCTTTTTAATTTAATAAAACACCAAGCAGAAATGAAAGAGATTGCTAAGCATTAAATAACTCACTTTTTATAGTAGTATTTTCTAACACATTCCTCTAAGGTTAATGAAAGGAATTATAAAATCTAATAAAAGTTGGCACTCTTGGAGTTTATTAACTAGATCATTCAACCTGATATCACATAAAGTCTCTCTTTTACTTTAACATATGAGGTTATTAGCATGACATCATTTCCCTTGCCCACATACTGACTTTTGTTAGTTCTGCTTCTATTCAGTCAAGAGATAACAATTTACATTCTTGTTTTTGTTCTAATTTTCAGAATTACATTATTAAATGTCCAGGTACTTATTCCTGAATGGCATACATTCAGTGATGATTGTTAGTATTTGAGTCACTGATTTTGTAACTTGAAATCCCATCAAAAGGGAAGACTAATAAGCATCTTAAAATTAGTGAGGAAAAAACAAATGTGAATTAACGACATTCTGGGGGCCCCGTAAGTTGTTCTATATCTACTTACAATTTTTTTGCACTGGTTAGATGATTATAGAAAGGCAAAGTCGCCTAAAAGAATTTCTTTAGTTCTACCCAGAAAGAGGCAATGCAAAAAATGAGCCACTGAGTACACAGAATGGGTGCGCTTGTAATCTTGACCCTGCAGTGAATGAAGAACATTAAATATTCCAGCTAATTCTAAACAACAAAAGCTCTGTGTTGACATGATAATGAAAAAAGTAGAAACTCATCATAATTCTAGGCCAAATGAAGTTCTGTAGGCCCCTCAAGAAACTTAACTACATGCTTATACTGAGGAGAATATGTTGGAGGAAAAGAGGGTTGACAACAGCATTTATTTTTATGACTGAGTTTTCAGGGCATGCTACCAACATGGCAGCCTCTCATTGAATGCTAAAGTTGTTCCATAGCCTTTTGTGTTTTCAAGGACTTAACATCAGTCTTTCTTGCCGTAGACTTTCATGACAGGAACATCACAACAGACACTTGACCTCCTAGAGTCATTTGCTTTTATTTTCTGGGATCATCTTAGCACATGTCTTTTTTTTTCCTCAAAGCAAACAGTCCCATGGCTTTTCTCAGACAGTCACAGTGATGGGCCATTAAAGAAGCACTTGCTCTGGTTATTGTACCTAAGAATTTGAAGAGAAACTCCATTGGAAAGCCTCATGCTTCCATAAGCAAGTAAGATCTACATAAAAACCGAACTAAACAATATGGTATAGAAAACGTCATTTAAAATGATAACCTATTTCAAAGCTGATATTTTATTCATAAATAACATTTAGATACAGAGGTTAATAAAGCATTCCCTCAATGATCTCCAGTTTATTAGTATACATACACCAGAGAAGAAGGGATAGCATGTTTATATGTTTCTGCCATATGACAGCAAAAAACATGGCTGGTTATATTCAGACAGGGTGGTAAACATCATACCAGATAACTTGCAAACTATAAGCATTGGGTTTGTTTTTGAGTGGTGGGCACACCAGACTAATTTCCCTGAATACCTCCATGTTCAGTTTGTACACTGTGCAAGTATGCAGATTTTATGACTTTAGATCAACTTAAGTTCATTATCCAATTATCACGAGTTCTGATAAAAGATATGTATGGATGAACAACTTTGATGTTTCCATGCCTTTACTGCACCACCACTGTCTCCTTGAATTTATTTATTACACCCATGCATTGTGAAAGACAGTCTAACAAAATCTTGTTTTTAATCGATCTACTGTCATCCACAGTACGCATTCTGAAAAGTGCAACATATTGGAATTTTAGACATGTATCGTAATGTTACTCACATTTTATATGCTAATATTTTTATTTTAAATAAAAACAACTAACAAATGTAGACAATTGATATTCCGATGCCTGAAGGTTTTTAACAAAAGTCAAATTCTTCCTCTATCCCCAATAGCACCAACTCAGTAGCTTTTGTGAATTATAAAAAAAAAAAAAACATAAGACTCCACAAGACTCCAGAAAGATGTGTACTGACAATAGAGGGGTGGAGCAGGAAATCGCCCTGCTGAATAGAGATGGCTCTATTTACACACCTATGCACATATCTCTATCAATATCTTCACAATTCCATCACCTTATTTTTCCCACGTGATTTTCATGATACAAAGAGTTGAAAAAAATTATTTTCCCATTTTGCTACTCATTTATGACCCCTATGCTTTTCACAAAAAAAGTCCAATTTGAACAAACAGAAAGGAAGTTTCTATTTGTATGATATTAAAACAAATGCACAGCCTGATAATGATGTAGGATCTATAAGGCTGTAGAATTCCTTCCACAAGTGCTGCCCTTTTTATAACCAAACTCAAGGGTAAGTGAATCCAATATGGGCAGCCATCCAAGGATTCACAAGTCTAATTGTTCCCTATTAGGCCACTAAAAATGGAATAGTCATAAACCATAAGTATAGACTCACTTGTCTTTAATCTTGAGGTGGGAAAAGAAACTCATCTATCCCCAATTAATTTCTGCACAGAAAACCCACATCAACTGTAAAACAATTCAGAGAACTGATAATAGATTACTTAAAAGGAATAAACTCCTCTCTTTTTAAAAGTAATATAAATATATGCTTTAGTATGACCCTGAGGGACTGGGTTTTAGAATGTGCCTTTGCTAAATTTGATCTTGAACCTGAATACTTTTCACAAAGGCCTTTAATTCAGTATTTGAAAAGAATTAAAGCTCTATCCCCTCATCTTTTCAGCATGCCTTCTGTTTAAAATTTTTGTACAATACTCATAAAGAACACAGAAATGTACTAAATACTTTTTAAAAAAGGCTGCTGGTTAAAATCATGGGGAAATGCATAAAAGGCAGAAATAAATACAGAAGACTTATTTTAAGGAAAAGAAAAAACTCAAAAGTAAATTAGGCTGCAAAACTATTTTTGCAAGTATGATGCCACATTTGACCCCACTATGTATTAGAGGCACTGCATAAATATGAGCAGAATCATCAAATGCACTTTTTGAAAAACAGTGCTTCTCAGCCAAGGGCTATGTGAATTCATTTTACTGTGAGTTGTCTGAAACACTTTGGTGTGCTTATTGGCGACATTTTGGCAACGCATCCTACACTAACAGGAAGGCTAGAAACCAAGCACATTACAAGATCCACCACCCTGTTACTTCTTTTCATGTTTCTTGGGTAAGTCCCTCCTGCCCAGCTGGCAGCGGGGCCGGCTGTCGCTGGGTCTGCCCTCCCTGTGCTGACTCTCCCGGGAGACTTGCTGCACGGCTTGCAGGATGGCATTCTGCACAATCTGTTTGCTGGCACTCTGCAGTTTTGCCTCTTCGGGCTCATTTCCAGGCTTCTCACCTAGCCAAAGGTACAAAACGGTATGGGAGGAGAAAAGAAGACAAATTAATTTTACAAACTATTACAGGGAGGGATAAGGGACAAAGGTAGAAAGAAAAAAATGAGTGCACACACGCACACACACACACACACACACACACACACACACACTGTAATTCATCCATTAGAAAAAATAAGATTGCATCATTTGCAAAGAAATGGAAGGAGCTGGGGGGAGGGGAGGAGGAAATTCATGTTAAGTGAAGTAAGTCAAACCCAGAGAGAGAAAATATCGCATGTGTGGAGGCTAGATTAATTTAGAAATAGTAAATAAGTAATCACTTTGGGGTGGCATCTAAATAACACACAAATGTATTCATTGCAAAATGGTAGATCCAGGGAGAACTCAAATGGTGTAATTCCTTAGAAAGACTAACTCACAGTCCAACAAAACAAAGAAGGAAATGGGCACTCAACATGGGAGGGTCGCCGGGCGCTGGTGGCTCATGCCTGTAATCCTAGCTACTCAGGAGGCTGAGATCTGAGGATCGCGGTTCAAAGCCAGCCCGGGCAGGAGAGACCGTGAGACTCCTATCTCCAATAAACCACCAGAAAACCGGAAATGGCGCTGTAACTCAAGTGGTAGAGCGCTCGCTTTGAGCTGAAGAGCTGAGGAACAGTGCCCAGGCCCAGAGTTCAAGCCCCACGACGGACAAAAAAAAAAAACATGGGAGGGTTGTCAAGGGGAAAGGAGTAGACAGAGTAGATGCATGAAGACAGGAAAGGGGGACAGGGCAATGTAATCATAAAATTCAGTGCACATCCTATAAACCTTCATAAATGAGGGAAGGAGTGGGGTTCAGAGGAATGGTGGAGAATGGTGAAAAGAGTCACATGGATCAAGACGCACTGTAGTCATAAACTGCTTTGTTGAGTGGCAACTCCTTTGGGCAACTACTTCAAGAGAATACAAATGTATTGTAAAAAAGAATTGAGATCATAAGATGGTATTAGAGTAATTTAACAGTAAAGAGCCCTCTATAGCACCTTCTGCTAATTGTCCTTCTTCATCTCCAACAAAATCTCCATTTCATTTGCCCCTTAATGTGACCAGGTTAATATTCTCACCATCCGAGAATCCTCAGCTGACAGGGATGGTCCCAAGACAGTCCTAACCATCGAAGACCTCTGGGGGAACCTTTAGGATAGGACAGACTTGTGCTATATGGCCATTTGAACCTTCCCATTCTTCCTGCCTGCAGATAAGATGGCTGGGTATTCAGCCATCTTACAGTAAGCATGGAGATGAATGTCTGGGAGAAAGAAAAAGCCCAGTGAACAAAAGCATCAGTGAACATCTCCATCAGCCCTGGACCTCAAATGTGAAGAAAATAAATCCCTTTTTGTTTAATCCACCATTAGTCTCAGTTTATGTTGCCTGAAGCCAAACACATGCTTACTATATACAGTAACCTCATGGGGCTGAAGAAAAATAGTGACTGAATCCTTATCAAGCCCAATTCTGCTGCCACAATGTCATCACAAGAATTGAAGCCATTCCTCCAAAGTTCCCCACAGTCATTGAGAACTTACAGAAAGCTCCAAATGGTAAACAGGTTAGGCCTGTGGCCCATACGCTTTCTGAAATAACTGCTCAACTCTGTGGAGTCAGCTAGAGATGATATGTAAACTGAATGCTTATGGCTTTGCTCCAATAAAATGTATTTACCAAAAAAATAATAAAAAAACCAACGTTGTGTGTAGATTTTAGCCCATAGGCCACTATTTCTCTACGGTTGGCCTAGATAGGAATTTTCTAACTAGAAGTCCACTCAACACTTCTTTCTTTTCCTTAGTTTAAAAACAAGTCTTATTTTTATTTGGGCCACTATATAACTAGGTATGACTAAATTCTGATCAATGAAATGTAAATGGAAGTTTATTTAGTGAAAAATTCTGGAAGGGAGACTTAAGAGAGAACAGGCAGAAAAAACTCTTTGCCATCTTCCTATCTGGCTGCCTGTAACTCTAATCTGATGGTTGTTGTTATGAGGGTGATCACTAATAGGGGACAGCCATTAAGAATCCAAAGGAAAGCCAGGCACCAGTGGCTCATGCCTGTAATACTTACTAGTTTCTCAAGAGGTTGTGATCAGTTCAAAACCAGCAAGAGGAAAATCTGTTAGACTCTTATCTTTAATAAAAAAAAACAACTACCAAAAAACTGGAAGTGAAGCTGTGTTGCAAATGGTAAAGCATTAGTTTTGAACAAAAGAAGTTTTGAAATAGTGCCCAGGCCCTAAGTTCAAGCCCAAGAACTGGCACACCAAAAAAAAAAAAAGAAAGAAAGAAGAAATCCTTAGAATTGATCTAAATTCTCATGCATTTTGGAAGACAAAGTAAGCAGGAAAGGAACCTGGGATCCCCAAGTCCAAGAAGACACCATATCTCAGCTGCTCATCTCTGTAGGAAAAACATAGCACACCTTATTTAAAACAGCTACTATTCTGGATTTTACTTTATTATATAGTAACCTTAGTATTAATTTATGTTTGGCAGGATGATCATTAATCAAATATTTGAGTAAAACACAATATTGAAAACTTTACATTCTACCTGAGCATGTGTATCTAACACAATAAATAAATAAGCAGCATTCCTTACTCAAAAGCATTTTATCAAGTGTTTCTTCTATTCAATTACATTGCTACTATGAAGATGTATTTTAAATCATGGTGGGAAGTTCACCAGGATAGATTAATCAATAATCATATTTGTATGAGGGAGGGTAAAAACATCTAGTAAGAGAATATTGAGTCACTCTTAAGACTAGACAGCTTTTATTCCTTTAGATAAATAATGGTCATTTATTCTTCATCTCTGCCCATCCCCTAAGAGACTCACTGTCTAGTGAATACTGTACAATTAATCTATTTAAAACAAAGAGTGATACTAAAAACAGAGACAATACAATGAGCCACTGACATCAAGGCAAAGAGGTCCAGGCAGATTGGAAATTGAGCGAGTCAGAGAATAATACTGAATATACGCTGCAGAAAAAGAGTGAAACACAATCAACAGTAGGAAACCCTGAGGTATAGCTATGAAGAATAAATGCTTTGAAACACTTCAAAGCTGAGTTCAAGTACTGTCTACCAGCCATGCAATCTTAGACAGGACATCTTCCCTCTCCAAGCTGCTTGACATTATCCAGTAGGACCTGTCTAGGATGGTTATTAGGGAAACAAGTGTAATCACACATATTCAGCACTCTGGTTCTTGGCATACTGTAAACACTTAGTAAGTATGCACTAGTTTGTATTAGTTAGGGAATAGAATAAGCAAAAACACTAAGATTGTTCATACAGAGAGATTTTGTCTCATACAGCACAGTGCAGGTATATGCACTACATACTCACTCCATAGGAGGTGGCTTATGCTACAGGTTATCTGAAGATTCTTCCTCCCCTCTCATTGCCCTGTCATTCCCTACAATATGATCCTCATCTGCCTTGAGACAAGGCAACCAACAGCCAACCAATAGCCCAACGGGAAGGAAGCAAGAAGAGAAAGGGAAAGCAAGCAATTTCCTTTCAAGGATTTGTCACAGAAGTTACAATCACTCTGATCACTTTCTATTAAAGGAAATGTAGTCACATGGTCACATCTAGTTTCAGGAGAGGCTGGAAATATTGTTGTTGGCTGGGCAGCCATGTGCCCTGTTAGTTCTAGGGCTAGAATGAAGAATTGGGGAAGTTTAAAATTTACTTCCATGCAAGGGCCACACATGCACACACACACACACACACACACACACACACACACACGCACACACACGCACACGCACAGACCAGGTCTTGTATCAGGTCAAATCTGGTATGCAATGCAGGTAGCTCTGTCTACTACCAGTTTACAACATGGCTGTGCAAACAAAACATTTTGAAGATCCATTCTTGCTCCAAGAAAGAGTATATTAGTCAAACTACATATGTGTTCATTCTAAAATGTTTCTGCCCCTGCTATGCAGCTATTCTGTCATTAGATAGACAAAAACAGAGCCTATGGATGAGAGTAAGCTGGAGTAAACTGGATATTTAAAAATGGAGAAAATAGAAAGCCAACTCTAAGTCTAGCTGTGACCTAATATTTAGACTAAACCACTGCATCCTTCTCCAACTAATAGACTAAACCACTGCATCCTTCTCCAACTAATATGATTGTAAATGGATAAAATGTCAAAGGCAATATGTGCCAAGCTATGTCTGGGCACCCTTAGGTAACTGGCAGATCAGTTTAATAAATCCTCTCTGTTGTCTTTATTACTACTTTGACCTAGATCATAAAAGACACCTACAGTAGAGGATGTGGGACAAATAGTGCCAAACATCCAGGAACTGGACAAGAGAAATAACGACAGGAGGAAAGCCACTCAAAGCATTTCATAGACAATAAAAGCAAAATAAGCCAGGCACCAGGGGCTCACGCCTGTAATCCTAGCTACTCAGAAAGCTGTGAAATAAGAACTGTAGTTCAAAGCCAGCCAGGGCAGGAAAGCCTATGAGACTCTATTCTCCAATTAACTACTTTAAAAAAGCCATCAGTAGAGCTGGGGCTCAAGTGGTAGAATGCTAGCTTGAGCAAAAGAAGCTCCAGGACAGGGCTCAGGCCATGTGTTCAAACCCCAGGACCATAACAAAAAAGCAAAACAAAAGGTTATACACTCCTGTGTTGAATCTTAGGCACACAAAAGACTACGGGGACATAGATATATAGCTGGCATCGAACTGAGTTCACAGTACAGGGCAGAAACTAAAGAAATCCAACATCACCCAGGCTGCCGCATTATGTTTGCCATAAGAGAGCCTCAGTTTAACACCCCTTTCCATTCCTCTAGCATCCCCCTGACTTCATGAAAATGGCTTACTCTTGTTTGTGCTTATTCATGCTTTGTCTTGCTTCATGATTTTACTGGCTGCCCTTCCCCAGAGGGCATCCTAGCAACTGGCTGGCCCTTGGCATAG